CTAAAGGGTTTTAATTTTCTCCTTGTCTCTAGTGTCTGTTTCTAAGAATGTTGGTACACTTTGTGTCCTCATCAGCAAAACTATTTAAATTCACTGAAGTAAAACATGTACAACGCTTGGCATTTTTCTTTTCTTTCTTTTTTTGGTGGGACTGGGGTTTGAACTCAGATGCTCTACTGCTTGAGCCACACCTTCAGTCCATTTTACTCTTGTTATTTTGAAGATGGGGTTTCACAAATTATTTGCCTTGGCAGAGCTTCCCAATCTCAGCCTCCCAAGTAACTAGAATTACAGGTGTGAACCTCTAGCTGGCAGTTTTCTTTCCTTATATAGTATCAACATGCTATGACTCTCAAGGCCAATATCTGTGAATTTTCTTGCTTAGCCATTAAGCAGAGTTTGCTAGTAAGCAGCAACAATTTTTAAAACTAATTTAAGCTTTATTTCATAGTTACTGTAATAATCAGCACCCCATTTTGCAGGTACAGAGTTTGAAACACACAGAGGTTAATTAACATGTCTCAGGTCACACAGTTAATAAGTAACAGAGTTGAGATTCTAACCCAGGCAGTCTGGCTCCAGAGTCTATACCATTATCTCAGTGCAATGCTGTCTTTTATATTTAGTTCATTTCCTACTTGATCAGAGTTTATGGGAAACAGTGAATTCCGGACATAGTTCATTATGGGACTTTCAGTTTTTGCATATCTTTGTGTTAAGAGTGATCTTAGCAATTGGAAAGGATATTTCTGGCCACAGAGGGTGCCTCTCCCACAGGTCATTCTTTGTGATACAATTGCTGCAGTCTCTTCTAATTCCTGAGAAATCTTAGGGGAACAATTGGGGAAACTTACTAGAGTAGTTAATGACACACAATTTTGGAATTTTGCTCCTAAAAGGATTATTATATTGGTTGCTCAGGGACCTGTATATAATAAACAAGTTAACCTATGACAAGTGTTAGGCACGGCACCTAGAGATTAAGACCTAGAGGTAATGTAATGTTCCTCTTCCGTTCCATTTGACAAAGCCACTGCTAAGTTGCTGTCTAATAAAGACTGATTGGTGTTTTCCCAAATTGAAAATGCCAGGCCAGAGAGCAATGCTGTGTGGATTAGAGTTGAACAGAGATGTGTGCCCTCAATGCAGGAGATCCTGTTATTTAAGCTGGAAAAACATTTATTCTTCTCTGTTAGAGGCGGAAGCCAACCTAAACCGCATCTTTAGAAATGTACAAAAAGCTGATTATCTAACCCTAGACTTCTCCCTTCTAAAAGCTACTTCAATTTAAGGGTCTTTGATGTTGAATGCTGATGAGAAGTTAATCAGATTTGTGATTGTCAGTTCCAGAACTACTATGATGAGTGCAGTAATTAAACTTTTAATACTGTGAACATTCTGCTCCTTACAAGTATTGTGTAGATTCCAAACTCTGCCCATGATGTCTTCATTTTCATGCCCTCACTGATTCCCTAAAACAATTGCACCTTCCAGTTCTTGGTTGGAAAGGCATTGCATATGTTTTTATGTAAAAGTTCTAAAACTTCAGTTTTTTTTTCTCCTAGGGGGAGTAAGAAATTTCAAATCCATTTTTTTTCTAATTAGAGAAACAAAGCATATTCATTGTACCCATACCGATATATATTCAATTACCCTTTTTGATGTTTTGCAAACACAATTAGCAAATATTTTTTCTTGGCTTATGTGCTACCTTATTAATTCACATAATGAATTAATTGTTTAGTTAATGTTATTTCCCTACTTATGTGATAATAATAATGATCTTTTTGTCATGTTTTTGCTTTATCTTTAGAGCCTGAAGCAGAACCTATGTAGAGAATTGAGTGTTCAATAAATACTGAATGAATTGTACACATTTTAGAGTTTATAGAAAAGTAAATCAAAGAAAATAGAAGTTTGAGCAGTAAAATCTATAGCATTTAAAATATTCTTATTTAATTTAAATGTACCCTAATGTTTAAATATGCCTATATATAGAGGCAGTCTTGCTTTGTGAAGTAGTACAAGACCATGAAAGTGACTATACAAGCTGAAATTAATATAAAGGAAACCCTAATAATCCATGGGAAAAGTTACTTTTGTTCCTTGACCTTTAAAAAGTTTCAAATTATGAAGACTTTTCTTTATGTTGGCTATTGCCATCTTTTTCATCACAACTCGTTTCTTTGTATGTGTTTTTTTTTTTGGCAGTTCTGTGTGGGTTGAGCCCAGGGTCAAATGCATGCTAGACAAGTTGCTCTATCACTTGAACCATGCTTCTAGCCCTTTTGTTTGTATTTTGTTTCTGAGATAGGGTTTCCCTAACTGTCCATTCTGGCTTTGGTCTGTGACCCTCCTGTCTCTGTCTCCTCAGTAGCTGTAATCACAGCATGTCACCACACCTGACATAATTGTGGTACTGGGGATTGAACCCAGAGCATTGCACTTGCTAGGCAGATGCTCTAGCACTTGAGCTGTGACCATCAGCCCCTTTATACGTGTCTATTACTTTGTCTTTACTAAGATCTGTTGTATATCCAGAGTCTCTAAATAGCAAATGATGGGATTGTCAAAATTCCACGCACCAGATGATTTTCTTTTTGTCCATTTGTGTTTGAATCAGATTTCACTTCTGATATCATCAATTTTTGTTTTTATGTTGCATGGTCAACTTTGTTGGTCAGTTTCCTGTTTTGATTATCCATGCAATGTGGATTTGTCATTGGGTGACAAGAAGGCAATATAACCACACTTTGCTGTACGTATGTGAACTGAATGGGGAACATGCAGTATCCAATCACCACAGGCTCAGAGAGATACCATGATTGGTCAGTGATCAGGATGCATATTTGTTAGTTATATAGTGATTTATAGACTGAAGGACTAGCAGCAAAATTTGCATTTTATGCAGTTATAGTTGATATACTGTATTAACTAATTTCAAACTGTGTTGTTGAGGAACTAGGGCTATTTAACTAAACTGTGGTACTGAAAAACATTGATGTTAGAACCCATTTGGGTGAGGGCTGCCTCAATTCCAGGCTTTACTTTATGTATATGTGTATTTTTTTGTTTACCGAAGTAGGATCACTACTATTTGTTCTTCATTTGATTTTATGTGGTATATAGGCCCAAAAATGGCCTATTGGCAATCCTGACTTCATACTTTTTCTTTCTTTTTTATTAGCATATTATCATTGTACTGGGGTACACTGTGACATTTGTAAAAGTGCTTACAATATATCTTAGTTAGATTCATCTCCTCCATCATTTTCCTTAATCCCCTTTCCTTCCTTCTTAGAACAATTTCAGTAGGTCTCATTGATTCATTTTCATACATGAGTACTTATTTTTTCTACCATATTCACCCTTTACTTAATATTTTATTTTCAATTGTAATGGTATAGTAATGCTTTCTTTTGTTTATTATTATGCTTTTTATGATATAGAGGAACTGAACCCAGAGACTAAAGCATGATAGGCAAACACTCTACCGCTCTCACACCCTAACCCTTTGAGCTCATGTTTTATGAATGCATGGAATTTTATTGTATATTTGTACCACGCTTTATTTAACCAATCTTTCTTTTTTGGGTATTGAGGATTTTTTTTTCTGTTTTTCTTAATTATAAACAATGATCACTTCTATAGCAACTTCTTTGAATAGCTATTATTTTTGGAATGAATATATTTTAGTGGGAAAATTGCTGGTTTACAGTATGTACTTTTAAACATTTTCATATTCTTCCAAATTTCCCTTTAGAGAGATGTTCCCATTTAGGCTTCTACCAGCATTCAGCATCAAAAGATGCTGGTGTTGATTCCTAAACATTGTATGTTATAATTCTTTTTTCGCCGTTGCCACTTTAGTAGGTAAAACCTGTATTTTCTTTTAATAGTTTTGGTTACTAATTAGGTTCAGTATTTTTTGTGGGTTAATTAACAGTTTGATCTGTGGGATTTTACTCTGTCCTATGTTACTGCAGTTTTCAGATAGCAGAGGATACAAGTTTTAATAGGTTGTTTGTATACATATATTTCTACAAATTTGTACGTATTCATCTCTATGTAGTGTGTTTGGATTGCGTTTGCGTGTATATGCCATTATTTTACCCAGTATCCATGGGCCTTAGTTTTGAAATGTGGCCATCAATTTCCAAATGGTTTTCTTTCTTTTCCTTCTGTGTCTTTCTTCCCTTTCTTTCTCCCCCTCTTTTAAAGAAAGAGAAAATAACTTACAGTGTAGGTGAAATTCTAGTTAATTTTTCATTATATGATTTTCAGGACATGGGGTCAAAAGGAGCTAGTAGGGCATTTAATTATGTGCTTAAGTGTGTTGGAAAATGTTCTTTTTTTCTCATCAGGTGTACAATATTTTACTTGGGCTTGTTTTTCAACTGCATTGAAGTGTGACTAAACATTTTTGGGTACTGCTATTATGTAAAGAAGAAGCCTCATCTTGTTAAATATTCCTTCATCAACTTTTGCAGTTAGCCAGTCACAGGCAGTGAGAAGCCTGCGAGGCCCTGGGTGTAGACATTGGATAGAGGGAGGGCAGCTGGATGGAAGAAGGCGACTTAAGGAAAACTCAGGATTGGGGTGCTCTGTTGCCCCTCCCACTGCAACATGAAAAATTGATTGGTTCAAGCTGATTTGTGTTTTATAATATTGGATAGGTCATAAGTGGGGAAGAGAGGGAGTCGTGGTTGGACCTCAGCTCATCTGAGGCCTCAAGGTTACTTGTCAAAAACCACACAGCACTGGAGTGCTGTCCTGGAGAGTGAGAGAGAACTGAGATATACTTTGGACCAAAGGAATAGAGACAGAGTTTGATTTCTTGTTGATTTAGGTTGAACATAAGGGAGCCTTGGCAAGAAAGATGTCCACCGAAAATGTAGATGAGAAGCCCAATAATCTTGGAGAGAGAGGAAGAGCCCGAAGTTACACTTTCCTCAGGGTTGTCCAGCCAGTGTTTAACCACAGTATTTTCACTTCTGCAGTCTCTCCAGCCGCAGAGCGCATTCGATTCATCTTGGGAGAGGAAGATGACAGCCCAGCACCTCCTCAGCTCTTCACTGAACTGGATGAGCTGTTGGCCGTGGATGGGCAGGAGATGGAGTGGAAGGAGACTGCAAGGTGAGGCATGACTGATTGTACTTAGTACTGACCTAGGAAACAAATTCAGGGCAAGATGGGTGAGCTTGTGAGTGTCTTCTCTACCTTCATCACTTGTATGGTTGATGGTAATATGTTGGCTGAGTTAAGGAAGCACTGACTATTTCTTCTTTCCTTTAACATTGATGCTGATGCTGGGCACCTCTTATTTCACTGCTAAAGTATGGTTTTGATTTTTATAAGGAGTGAAAAGTAATCTCAATTATATGGTCTTTTTATAATAAATAATTTATGAGATAATAAACTCAAGCACCCAAAGATGAAAGTCAGGAGATGCATTCCTACCCATCTTCAAATGCCAAGGTATTATGTGAGCTCTTGTCTGACTTATTACCCATTCTCTGATAGGAGAGATATTACGAAGACAATGATAGTTATAAGACAGAGTTGGTATAATTTCAGGTAAAAACATGTTGTCTTTAAATATCCAGCTGAAAGCAAGTACAAAGTTAATCTAAATGTGGAATTTAGAGGCCTCAGTTTAATTTTGTAGTCTAGCCCCTGACTGGCACTGTTTCTTAGAACTTTGGTTTTATTATCAATTAAGAGTGGATAATAATGCATACTATGTATGCATGTTTTATAAATATAATTCCAGTTATATGTATAATTATATCGTTAATATTTATATCCACACATGTATATGGGTATATATGGAAATACTTCGTAAATTGAGCACTATTCAAATGTCTTAAGGTTTCATGAATTACATGGGAGCAGAGCGTTTAATGTAGATTCAGTTATAAATTCCAGATTAAGTCTTCCATAACATATAACAATTATATATATTAAAGATTTTACTATAATTCAGTTGTTGTCTCATTGTCATTTTTACCCAGAGATACCAGTGTATTTTTGCCTTTCCAGATAAAAACATGTTAGATATACCTCTTATAGTCTGTGATTCAGATTAATTAAATTCAACCAGTGCTTTTGAATAAGTATATATACATCATGTTCTGTTTTAGGTACTAGGAGTGCAGCAATGAGCAAAAAAACATGGTTCTCTGTATTTATTGAAAATTGAAATGAGTTCAATATAGTATTCTATAATCTAAGGACTACCAGTCATTTATCTTAGCTTGAGTTTAAGAAAAACAAAGCAAATTAGGTGATAGTCTTTTTCTATGGTAATAAATGGGAAAAGGACCAATATCTGTTCTTCTGTTCTAGGTAGGTCATTCTAGAGTCAGAAAGAAATTATTTTTGCTATTTTTGATCAGTATGAACAGATGAATAATAAAGAAGCAATAATTCAACAGTCTTTCTTTTTCTATATGAGGGCTTTTCTAAGAGTTAAAGGAAGAACTTTTATTTTTTGAGGCATACCTTAAAAGTTTCATACATGGTATCATTTTAAATCAAGTCTTCATCAAGTTGATTATATGTTTTGTTGGTTAAGTCCTCAAACTTTGGCTCTTCTTATTTACATAATTATAAGTACTATGGAATATCTTAGCCATTTGGAAGTTTTAGTGTAGGAGAAGCTTCATAAATTAATTCATTTGGTGTGGAGAAGCTTCATTCTTCACAAAGAATTTATAGGTAGCTTGGCCTTGCAGACATATCTGCTTTTGAAAAACCTTAGTAGACGCCATAGAGAATTTCTTATCTTCCATAACTTAAACATGGTCAGAAAAGATAAAAGGCATTACATTTTAATTCTTGGCCCTCACAGTAGTACTAAGAGAAGAAACTCAATTTTTAAAAATGTTTTATTTTCCATTTGTTGTGCAGTCTTTCTGATACACAGTGATGTGCCTGTTTAAATTCTTCTGGTTGATAGCTAATTAATATTTTCTTCTTTTACTTAAAAAGGCAGCACATTTCTACCCCGTGTCTCATTCTGTCTTTTGATGTTCTTATTCTTTGCTCTTTGTGTCCTCTGCCCACGATACAGTAAAGGCTCTTATTTCCCTCTCTTAAATCCAATAACTTGCATACTAAAAATTCCTTGTAAAGTATACCTTTAGTTCATAAAATGTCCTTCAGAAAGAAGGCTTCCAAAGCAAAACTTTTACTGGTATTTCCACTCCATTCTTTCTTTCTCCTTCTTGATGGAAACTATGGATCAAGACTTCTACTGGTGCAACCTCAATTGTGCATTGAAATATTTAGTTGGCTTTGCTGTTTCTTTAATTGTTTAACATTTAGGATATCATGTAGTCTTCCTGGGCTTGAGGTTTCTGTTCTATCAAGTGCAGGTCTTACTGGGATGTATCCTTTCTAATACTACACATACTTTATTGATCTAAAATTTCATTCCTGTGCATATATGGTGTAGTCAGCTGTGCCTCTGACAGCTACTCTGAGTCTTATTTTCATCTTGAAATCCTGTGTGAGTAGTTATCATAGAGTGGAATTCAGAGTGGTTTTCTGTTTTTGGTTTCAGTCAAATGTAGACTACACTTAATCTGCATGATCTCTCATTGGAGGTCATTGTTATAGGTAACTCAGTGTTGAATGACATAGGCATAATATTTCCATTTAAGATTTTGTTTTGGTGGTATGAGGTTTGAACTCAGGGCCTTGTGCATTCTATCCCTTGAGCCATGCCCCTACTCTTTGTGTTTTCATTATTTTTGGGATTGGGTCTTGAGTTTATGCCTGGGCCAACCTGGATGCAATCCTCCTATTTATGCTTCTTGTGTACCTTGGATGACAGACTTTGAATTACCACACCCAGGATTTTATTTTTAATTGGTTGAGATGGGGCTCATGGACTTTTTGTCCATGCTGGCCTCCAAACAAGATCCTCCCAGTCTCTGCTACCTGAGTAGCTAGGACTTATAGGTGTGAGCCCCCATGCTATGTTAAGATGACATAGAATTCCTTACTGTCCTTAAATTTTTTTTGGAAGGTGGAGCTTATGTGCTGTTTTTGATGATGCCGCTGAAAAGACAGTTACTGCTGGGGAGGAAGGGTGTGGGAGGATACTGTTTGTTAGGGAACTGTCTAGAGATTAAAAGTACTCACAAAAAGCCTATCTATACTTCATAACTCCTGTTATTTAGACTTCCACAATTACTATAGTTAATTGTATTTGTGGCATTGTTTTCATTTGGTTTCTCTCATACAATAATTCATTTAAAGTCAGAGACTACCATGTATGTTGGTTCACTGTGGTATTCTCCATTCCTTTTGCCATGCCTGGTTCATAATAGCTGTTCAATAACTATTTGTTAAATATGTGATTAGTTGAGAACTGATTGCCTTAGAAATAACTGATCAGAATATAATAGCTTCTTACAAATATTGATCAAAGTTAGAGTTCTGTTATAATTTGTCTTTCTATGACTGTTGGATAGCTGTGGAATGACAGATCTAGGGTATCCAGCACATCACTAATAAAGCTTAGAAGAGGACCTATGTTTAGTTTCAAACTATTTCATCAATATTTTCATGACATCTTTATTTATGTCTCTAGCCCAGACTTCTTTCCTTAATTGGAATCAAATAATTGGAAGACTATTAGGAGTCTCAAAGTTAACATGTCACGATTTGTTCCTCCTACAGATTTTCCTATCTCAATAAATAATTCCATTTTTCTAGTTATTTCATCCAGAATATTGGACCTTGACTCCTGCTTTTCTGTTATCTGATCAGCTGGCAGATTCTATTGTATTCTCAAAGATACTCAGCTGTTCAGATATTCAGCTAATCTCACTACATTTCAAGTTTAGTACTGTTATCACTCTGATTCAGGCTACCATCATCTCTCACCTCCAATTACTTATTCTCCCTGTACCTGCCTTTACTTTTCTCATGAACTGTTTACCCTGATTTCTTTGACTTTATCTCCTATTTCTTTTCTCCTGTTTGGTCTACTTGAACTCCACTAGCCAGTCATGTTAACTCTGTCAGGAACTTTGCACTTGCACCCCCTCTCTCTGAAATGCTCATATATGAACGCAGTTATCTTCATGGCTTGGCTTCCTTACATCCTGAATATCTTTGTTCAGATAGTTCCTACTCATTGACTGCCCTATGTAGAGTTGAAACTCCCCCACACTTCCTATTCCTTATCTTTTATTTTATTTATCTTTTATTTATTTTTTCTTAGCATTTATTGTTATTTAACATATTACATACTTTTATTGTCTTATCCCAATAAAAATTAAAGCTCTGTGAGGGCAGGGATTTTTAGTTGTTTGATTCACCACTTTTCTCTTTGTGCCTGCCTGGCACACAGTTATGCTCAAGAAATAGGGATTAATGATAAGGTGAATGAATAGAAATAGAATCTTGATTCTTAGTTTGCTATTCCATATAAATTCCATGGAGATGTTTGGATGTTCAGATTTTCAACAATCTTTGCTTCTTGTGACATACTCTGCTTCACATTAGCTTTGCATAATTTCTGACTTCTGGTTATGATGTCAAGCTTCTAGACATGATAAAATTTCCCCCTATTAAAAATGCCAACCTACTAGGTTAATAAAAGTTTAGTACTTAGAATCATTTTATATATGAAGATATGCCATGAATATCTTTCTAGTTAAGTTATAAAGTTGAGAATTCTTTGCTTTCCTGTGAAAACTCCAGTTGATAGACATTTGTATGTAGGGGTAGGAGTGCTGGGGATGGAACCCAGGGGCTTATACATGCTAAGCAGGTACCCTATTATGGAACTGTAACCCCAGCCAGTAGACTATTTTATTCCAAAGAGAGCTAACCCTCCAGAATTTTCCAGCCTAACGTAGTTTTTAGTGAGAATTTAACTCCACAGAACACAGTGTTGCTCTCTTTTTCCTTTTAAGGTTCTATTACTTTTCAGTTCACTAATGATTTCATTTGACCATGAATTTTAAACACTGAGCTTTGGCATTACTGTGGTTTCAGTCCTACTTCAGGAGTTTCAGAGTGATTTTTTTTTTTAGGAGAATTTTTAATGGTAGGGGAAATGTCTGTTTTTGTCTTGGAAAACTCTGTAGCCATGTAATACTATGCAAGAGAAGTCT